TTTGGTACTATCCCTTTGTCATTATGCTATACTGTGATTTTTCCTGTCTTCAAATTCATTCCACTGCAATGGAAAAAAAGTTAAGAATTGTAAGGTTTTTGGATGTATCAAAAAACAGTTTTGAAGCCTTCCTTTTCTTCAGGGTACAGAGTTCAGAAGAAGCCTTGAAAGTCTGGGATCTTCTGGGGAGGCAGGCAGATTATATCTAACTGATTAATAAAATAAGTGCAAAAAAATCTCTCAACACTTGATTTTTTATTTTTATTTTTTCTGTTTATCTGCGTGATTTCTTGCTACTGTTACAGAACAAATCTAACTGCATTTTCAATAGAAAATCCACGTTTGATGTTTCTAAAAAGTGGACTTTTTCTTTTGGGGAAATAACCTTTGTCCCCCACTTATCATTACACTTCAGCTTATTCTGCATGGAAAAAAAAATATTATCTGTGAGTTTGGCTTTTAGTAAAAGGTGAAAAACAGCTATGCTACAGCCTGATTTCTCTTCAAAGAGTGCTGCTGGCTTCATAAAAAGGCCAGACCATATTCTCTGAGGTTTAATGTTTTGCACTGGAAATGATCACTGAGTAAAGTATCATAAATATGAATAGAGTAATCAGAAGAAATCTAAATAATGCTGAAATACTCATGTAAGATGCTTTCAAGTGACAAATGAAGAATTCTGACAGTGGCATGCAAAGTACATTAGCATAAGCATTATGTTACTTATGTTGTAATAATAATAACAATTTAATGTAATCAGTACAGCAATGAAGTGATGACTCATTGCTCTAGGAAAATGACCAAGAAGCCACCAAAAGCCTAATAAACACAGTAATCAACATAGACTCCCTGCCTTTGGTATTCTCTGGAATTAATGAGACCTTCCTCCACCATTATAATAGCAGACAGAAAGAGACATCCTACCTTCACAGCCTGGGTTGTACTGAAGCATTACACAAAAGAGATCAATTTTACCCTGCCAGGCTTAGCAAGTTGGGAGCAGAAAAGTGTACCAGCAGTCAGAAGTTTGACCACTGTGCTGCCAAGTCCCTTCATGCTAAAAGAAACAAAAAATAGTAGCATCAAGATTGGCATTGCTATTCCACACTGCGTCATGGGGAGAGGTATGTGTATTAGTGTTAGTACAACAGAGGGCAGAGCTCTGAAAAAAGTCATGGCTCTCTTTTGCATATTAAAGTTAACCTCAGTGTGGAGCCTGTTTCTGGGGTGAGGTAACTCATAGAACCCTCATTTGTACACCAGTTTCCTCTTGACTTCTACCTGCACTAGACCTGTTTTTCCTTGCCTTTTTGGGTCTGGATGACTAAGCTTTTCTGCAGTCCTTTCTCAAGATTACCTTTTTTCTTCCCTACAAAGAACAGCTGGAATAACTAGGCCTTTATATTTTAAGTTATTCATTAAAGTTAAATGGCTTTCTCTTCAAGCTTGTCCTAGGGCAACTATTATAAGGTTAACCTTTCTATAGCTGTGAATCCAGATAAGTTGCTCAATTTTCTCTACACCCAGCCAGACACAAATATGTATGAATATGCCTTTTCCATGGTTCATAGCTGTTGCCTCAATACGTATTCCGATTTCCCAAATCAGCACTGAACATCAAGAGAAAAAAAGGTCAAAAGCCATGAAATGCAGTTTTGAGAAGGCCAGTGAGCACCTCATTGTTTGTTTGTTATTTTTGTAAGACAGCTGGTGATCCTCAGTACAATCTCCTAAACATAGCCAGGGTATTTCACTTATTATAGGATAAACAAACAAGTATTCCTACAAAGCAATTGTGCTTAATGGAGCTTTCACCACAGCCACGTATCCCCACAGAGTGCTGCTCAACCTTGCTGTTCTTTTCAACAGGCTTCTTCAGTCTTACAAATGAGTCACCGAAATTTTGGGGACTCCTTGGTAGCCTCACCTCAAAAACATGTTCCTTTCTGCTTTGGCTCTCCTATTCAGATTGCACCCTTTAATACTTCCCTAAAATTCCTTCCTAAAACAAAGAATAAAGAGATCTGAAGCTCATACCTAAATCCAAGAACATGCGCACAGATCCATTGGGTACAATGAGGCAGACTGAGAATTAAAGAGCCCAGGCAAGATACAGCATTTCCTAAGGGACAAAATTTATCTCTCCACACTACTGTTTTTGTTTTTGTTTCAATTGAACACTATACACAGGCTGCATAGTATTGTATGCAGAGTGCTGGGGGAGCACTAATCTCCACAGTGGCGAGTCAAAGCACAAACAAACGGTAGGATGTAAAATTTGTCAATGGGATAATAAGTTCTGAAGAGATGTTTTAAGGCTGTCAAGGAAGTTCACTGCCTCTGAACAGCAAATCATTCTTACTATGTCCTTCTTGTACCTGCAGATATTTGTAGTTCCTTGAGTTGGCACTGAGAACCAGACATTGTTAGGCTTAATTACTCAAAAAATAAAAAAAGCAAAACAAAAAAAAACTAAAAACACCACAGGATCATTTTAAATATGTTGGCTGCCTCTTCCACAAGATGGAGTGTAGTGATAGTATCTGAGGATTTTCAAATTGAATCAGTAGATTACATCTTCCCTATCCTAGGAAAAGACTTTAAAGACTTCAGTCAACTACAGCAAAGCAAATCAGAGGCTCCTGTGGGGCAGTTGCTCACTGTTTAGTTATGCTTGTTTTAGATGGGAGGAGCTCAGATGCATCCCTAAAAACATATGGAGCTCACAGCTATTGCATTTTTTATTTGTTTTGTTTTAAACTGTCCAAAACAAGCAGTAGAACTTGGCAGCATTTTTTTCTCTCATGAAGAACTAAAGAAAAAAATAGCAAACTCATGCTCCTAGCCACTTGTTAAATACGCTCAAATAATAAATGTAATTTTACTTGGTTAAGAATTATTAACACCAGATTTCTTCCTTTGGCTTTGTGTTGCAGTTCTCAGCTCAGTCAGATAAGAGCGGTGCTTCTTAAAAACCAAAGCAAGAGCAGTGGATGGAGCTGCCGGTGTTCTGCTGGTACATCGGCCTCATGTTCAAGAGACCCATTCGGAAGAACAGAAGCTTCCTTTTCCTCCCTCTCATGTTCTGAGCTCATTGCAGGTGGCTGTGATCTGATACAGGGATCTGTTATTGGCTGACAGTCAGGTAAATGCAGTTTGAATAGGGAAAAGGATTGTGAAAGATTCTCCCTGACTCAGGCATCAAGCAGTTCTGTGATATAATAGAACACAAGAGAGCTCATCTCAATTTGTGGTGTTCTAAATCTATTTAATATGATACAGCAAGTCTTGCCAAATGATATGTATTTTAATTTTGACAATAAAACTAGTAGTTAAATTGTGTTCCAAGCACAGGAACATGCTTCCTCATGGGTTGGCTGATGTCCTGTGCCTGGTAGTGTTCAAAAGGCATTTGGACAATGCTGTCAGTAATGCGCTTAACTTTTCAACAGCCCTGAGGAGGTCAGGCAGTTGGGCTGGATGATCTTTGTCTGTCCCTTCCAAATGCATTATAATGTTCTGTTCTAATTCTGTTCTAGTCTATCGTATCCTATCCTACTCTGTTTAATTGTAACCGTGGATCACAAAGACCTCAGCCACAAATTACAAGCTATAACCTTGCAATTCTCACCATCGGGAGTCCCCCAGCTCAGGTTGAGGTTGATATGGTTTTGGCCAAATCTTCCTCCTCAGAGAGCAATGTGGGTTGTTCATCCATTCATGCGCGTCACTAATTAGATGACGAGGCATTTGGCTACCTTAACAGAGTCATATGCATAAAGGCATAAAGGCTTATCTTAGTCCTCAGATATTAGTCAGGGTACACACAGTGATTGTCCCACTCTGCTCTGCACTAGTGTGGTGTTACCTGGAGCACTGTGTGCAGCTTTGGGTACCACCATGTATGTGGACATAAAACTATTAGAGACCATCTGAGGGAGGGCCAAAAGGATGGCACATATGCGGAGCGGCTGAGGTCCCTTGGTTTGTTCAGCTCAGAACTGAGGAGCAGAGGGGAGACTGATGGCTCTTCATGAGGGGAGTAGAGGTGCTGTGCTGAGCTCTGCTCTCTGGTGACAGCAACAGGATCAGAGGGAATGGCATGGAGCTGTGCTGAGGAAAAGGCAGGGTGGAGGTTAGGGAAAGGTTCTGCACCAGAGGGTGGTGGGCATGGAACTGGACGTCCAGAGCAGTGTCATGGCCCCAAGCTGCCAGAGTTCAAGATGCACAGGGACAACACTCAGCCACAGGATTTGAATTTTGGGTGGTGCTGTGTGTAGCCTGGGGATCGACTCAGTGATGCTTGTGGATCCCTTCCAACTCGGGATATTCTAAGATTCTATGATTTTATCATTATTTCTTCCTTTACATATGGAAGAGCTGCAACATCACACCACAACACACATGTTGCATTTACATCCCTGCCAGATAGGAGGTTGGAATTACTACCTCTGCCTTCAGCACCTCTCTAACCCGGCTTTCTAAGAGCGCTGTCTCCGACTCAGCAGCAGCGCACAACACGCTCAGAGGTGGGCAGTGACCGCAGACTCGCTTGGCACTGGGCTGGGGCGCACCAGACGGGTTCGAGGACGGGAACCGGGCAGCTCGGCAGAAGATCGCAAACCTCCTCCGCCGGCAGCTGCAACTCCGCCGAGCCGGAGCGTGCGCGCGCCCCCGGGAGGCGGAGCCCCGTGCGGATGGGCGGGACCTGGCGGCGCTGCGGCGAGCGGGACGGGCGGCCGCGGGCGGGCGGGCGGTCGGTCGGTCAGTCAGTCAGGCAGGCGGACGGGCGGGAGGCAGTGGGGGAGAAGAGGCGCTGGCTCGCCGCCTGCTCGCTTCTTGTCCGGCGGTTCCGTGGCGCTGCCCGTGCAGCTCAGCCGGCGCTGGAGCGCATGGGGAGGCGGCGCTGAGCGGGCTGCGCTCCGCGGGGCCGTTGGGCACGGGCAGCGGCGCCGCGGGAGAGCGATGCTCCTCACTTTCTTGCCTGCGCTGCCCTTCCTCCTCCTCTTCTACCCTTTGAAGCTTTTGTTTTCCGCGGCCGCCTCGACGGCAGGAAACTTCCCGGAGGGATGGGCTTCGTCCGGGCTCGCGCCGCGCGGGGCTCTGCAGGGTGCCGGCCACGCTGCGAGGTGAGGCGAGGCGTCGTTCGGCGGCCGGGCTGCCCCTGCCCGGGATGGTCCGAGCGACGAGAGCGGACGCCGTTCCCCGCAGGCACCGTACGGCTATGCCGGCTGCCCGCTCCGGTCGGGGGTACTGCGAGCTGCGCTAGGCCGTCCCGGGCTGGGAGCTCCGAGGGAGCTGCTCGGGCTCAGGGTGGCCGGGAGGCGGCGGGACTGAATGGCTGCGGGGTCCTGCCGCCACGGCTGGGCGCTGCCCTGCGCTGCGGGGGTTCCTCCGAAGGCGGCGGCGGGCGGGGGGGCGGCGCTTCCGGCGCGCTGCTTGGCCCCGGGGCCGGGCTCGTTCCGCGGGGCGAGCGAGGCGGCGTTGTGTCGGCATGTGGGCGTGCGGGAGGGTTGGCTGGGGACCGACTGCTGCTGGTGCTGGCAGGTACGGGGTGCTGCGGGGGCACTCCCGGAAAATAGGAGTGCCTCGCTGAATAACATCGCTTGTTCTTTCGTCTTTTCTAAACGCCTGCTCTTTTCCTTTGGATATGCAGCGTGGTCTCGCGTGTGCTTGGCTTTTAAAACTCAGTAATACAGAGCAGGCTACTGTAGCTCACAGAGCACGTCGTAAAGTTCACCTCGCAGAGCAGCCCGAAGCTTTCAAGAGACGGGCTGCGCTTAAGGATGCGACAGGAGCGGGCACGGTTCTGATGGCCGGGGCTGGGTACGGCTGGCACTTTCCCAGTCGTGCTCAGAGGGATTATTAACCAAAACTGTGTGTTCGTACCGGATTGGTTTACAAAAGGGACAGTTCTGTGTAGGTTACGTAGACTCTTCCTGGATGTGTGAAGTTATGAAGGGATCTCAAAGAGTACTGCTTAATCAGCGATGTACTGACAGCTCTCCGATGTCTTTTTATGGATGTTTTTGTGGTTACCTATTGTGAAAATGCGTTTGCCAGCATTGCTCTAGCCAAGTTTCCAGGATAACATCATAGATTCACTTATATTTTTAGTCTGTAAAAGCAGACTTAATAATTCTACTAATTGCAAGCCATTTCTAAATAACTTTCAATTGAAATGTCTACTGCCAGATGATTGTCCCTCAGAAACCTGGCTCCTCACACTGTTGTTGCATGACTCACTTATTAGGCAGTGGCCTCGCTGTAAGAAGGCATGTCAAATGCATGTAGAACTTTTCTTTTTTAAACTAAAGAAATTAAAATTGGACAGTGGGTGTCATTAGACCATGTGTGAAGTCCGCCTGCTCCGATGGAGCAGGAACACGCCAAGATGATCTCTACTCATTTCTAGTTTTCTTCTTATATTATACAAGGTGTAGGTAATTTTTGTGTGTTTCATGGTATTTGGCATTTAAAATCTTCCTGTAAGAGTAACAACAGATAAAGCCTGGAGATGCTGGGTCTTCTACCTGTTAGTTAAATATCCCAAGATCGTTCTCTCGCCCTAAAGCCTGTTGGCATGGATTAGCCCTTGTCAGTGTTGCTGACCTTCATAGAGAGGGGAGCTGTGTAAGAGCAACTTGCTGGGACTGTTTCCTTGCTCCTGCTGCATCCAAATCATGCTCAAGGGTTGTGTGGGAGAGCTGTAGTGGGCCGGGATGTGAAGCACGCTGTGCTGGTCTGCAGCGGGTTGGCAGTCTGTGTCATCAAGTGAGCTCCATCACCTGGGAGTAGTTCCTGGTGTTGTTTGGTGCACTGATGCAGGTACAATCTATCAGTAACACTGTAAGTAGTCTTTCTTAAGCCTGTGCTCAGTCACAGTGATCTAATTTGCCTGCATCAAGGAGCACAGGCGTTGCAAAATACTGTTTTTCTTCGTCAGTTGCTGATACCTGCCAGGGCTGCTGCTTTCTCCTTGTGCAGGTGGGTGCAGAGGGGGCAAGTGGAGCCTTGGTGGCTTTCCTGCTTGCCCATAAAGGAGACTAAGAGATCCAGAAGACGGCACAACTTTCATCTGCCTTCAGGGAGCGTGCTTCCAATGCACTGCATATCCCAGTGGCTAGATGTGAACCCATCCATGGCCTGTGTTCTGATGTTGTTTTGATATCTTCCAAATTGTTTTGCTAACAGTACTGGGCAGAGTAACTTTCAAAAAATTCTCTAGCGAAGATTATTTACGTTTAGATGCCAGCAGATATTACTACACTGTTAAAATTATTAGAGTAGATATTTAAAATAAATCTTGTGAGCCTTGGTCATTCTTGCAGTCTTTCTTTTTGACACTGAAATTGGTGCACAGCTCTGCAGTATCTTACAGATTGTTTCAATAATGAAATGCTCTGAATGTTACACTTTTTGCTGTGCTTGGTTTTTGGATATGGATATATCTAGGCTATCTCACATAATAGTCTCATAAATAATTTTCAAAGCAATTCTCAAGGATATCAGATTTAATTGTTACAAATGAAAGAAGTGAGACAAGAAGAAGCGTGGCCATTTTTCTGAGGAATCTCGGTTGTAGAATCCAGAAATAGAGTCTCAGATTGAAAATTGATCTGTCAGGTCACACTGCCTCTTGTAGACAAAGAAAATACTTGAACAGAATGGTGTATTTTATCCCTGTACTTGCTAACAGCCATTATTTTGCTAACCTGGCTAGTGGTGTAGTTTGAACTTGAGGAAAATTGTTTAGTTGCTGCATTTTCAGCTGAGGATAGCTTATTTAAATCTTATGTGTGTTGTGGGACTTGGTAAGTGCTTTAAGTGCTTTCCTGAACAGGCAGTTTAAGCGGAGGTCTCTGAAATTCCATTCAATTTCATTTGAATGTAACATTAGAAAATATTAATCTCAACATGCACTTTAGGAGAAAGGTGAGCAGTCCTTTCCTTCTCCCTTTGTGCAGAAGCACTGTTTCCGTAGGTTGTTTGCACTTGGGCATATGTTGAAGTGTTGAAGGAGTCCTATTGGTTTGAACGGCGCTTAGAGAAATCTCTTGCATAGCTGTAACCTAATTTACCTCAATCTAGATGGAGATTATACAAAAGCTGTGTTTGAAAGAATGTTGTTCAGGCCACATAAGCACAGAAGTGTTTGAAAATTTAAAGCTATGAAGTGTTGGATAAGGCCTTTGGGAGCTCTGCTTTATACGATGTAGGATCCATTTTTTTTTTTTTTCCCAGAGCATTTAGTGTCTAAAAACAAGCAGCCAAAATTAGTGGATGCTTTTTGCATCCCTTCCCTGATTTTCTCCTTCTTGGAGTTACTGAAATGGAGTCTGGCTTGTGTTGATTAAATATGACGTGGTAGTACACAGTAATTATAGGGAGAAGGAGTGCTGGGCCTTCTAAAGGAAGTTGGATTCCATGTGGATAAATAGTATTTAGTCACATAATTAAAGACTGTGTCATAGTGTTTAATTGGATTTCTGTAACTGTTAGTCCTCAAGTCTTGTGAGCCTGACTTTCAAACCTTAGTAGCATTTACTTTTTAACATTAAAAAAGTAAATAAGAGTGTGTAGTTTTCACAATTTTTTTTCCCCCTCCCTAAAACAAGTAATTATTTTGTGGAGTGAAAGATCCCTTCCCTTGTCTTAGCAGAGTTAGAACATGTAGATGCTGGTTTGGACTTTAGCTACCTGACCCTGTAGCCACAAGTTGTGATTCATATGTGGATAGACAAGGAAGGAAAGTAGCATGACTTATATATGGAATGTGAAGATGATTATCTCAATTTTCCCTTGTTATCTGTCAGTTTCAATGTAATATAATGTAGCTGACTTAAGAAGGATGACAAAATGCTGGGGCTTGGTTTCCATTCTGTTATCCACATGGCAATGCTGTCTGGTGAATTTACTGTTTTCTCCACAATATTTTCCCCTTACTGCCCTATTTCTTCTGGGCTGTCTTGTTGGCCAGCTGCTTTCTGTGCTTTTCTGCCAGAACCTTCCCTTGGTTGATCTTGTGTAATTTCTAATTGCTGGTCATTTTTAATTGGGCAGTTAGAATATTTTATCTTGATCTAATCTGCAGCTATCTAGTCTCTTTGAAGTTTCTATTTTTTCTCTCACATGATGATGCATTATGTTTTCCAGTAGGTGCCTGTATTATTATGGTTGCTGGTTTAAGAGGTAAATCTGAGCCTTCAGCCTGATGATCTGAAAGCTAGCTATCCTGTTTTGGTTTTCAGCATCATTAGGTCTATGGACCCCTGTCTGGCAAATTGAACCCCACAGACAACAGGCTTCCTTTCAGGGATCTGTTAGAAATTAGCTATGCAGTGTGGTAACACTGCTGTATTCTCAGCTGCCCTTCCAGGTACTTGTACAGCTAGTAGAGAAAAATAAGCTTGTTCAGAAAGTGGTTTATCCCAGCTGTGATTGGATTGCTGTCTGTGCCTCTGCTCTTTGTGGTGAGAACCCTGATGCCTCTATTAGCCTTGCTATCCACCTATTAGGACAGCTAATATTAGGGAAATTAATTCTTAGTGAGCACCTTTGCAAACATCTATTTTATTGTCGTTATTCAGTATATGGTCGCGTTCCTTACTTAAAACCCACTCTAAATGAGCAAAAGTTCATTTTGATGTGTGCTTCTCAACATTGTTTATCCCTGTAGTATCTCAGTTCTTCAGGAGCATCATGTTATTCATTACTTCACTGTCTCATGCAAGCTTTCTCTTCAAAAACATTTATGAAATAGACACAGACTTACAGGAAAAAGTTCACAGACAGAACTGTCTTCCATTTGAGTTTTGGAAATGAGGGGAAAATTGCAACAAACGAGGAGGAAGTGTAAATTTTAAATACAAATGGAAAAAATAATACTCCTATCTTTCTAAAGCTATAAAGAACTCAGTACTTGATACTTCCTGAAATGATTATTGATGCACGTTTTCTGCGTCAGTGTAACTCGCTGAATTACTCCTTACAGAGTATTGTACAAGGTTTGTTGTGTATTACGATAGAAAAGGTATGTGAAAAACAGATGACTTTTTCTTTGTCAAATGTGAAAAGTAATTTCAAAACACACAATATTATATGTTGATTCAAATCTTCTATGGATAGT